AAAATATATAACTTATATTTATATATTCTTTATGAAAAGAAATAAAGACGTACAAAATTAATTTAGTAAAATAAACAATTGTTTTTTTCTGAGAGCAACGATACTTTACAGATATATATGTATATACATATATGTAAGGTTGGCAAGTAACGCGTTACTTGTAACATCGTTACCGTTACAAGTTACTTTTTTAACGAATGGGTAACGACGTTACATTTTCTTCTGAGTAACGTTTATGGTAACAAAATTACATTTTTGGGGTAATGGTATCGATTTCATTAATTATTTCTATCGTTACTTTATTTATTATTTAGCCACTTAAAAGTTTTAGTTGTATAACTAGAGCATATATATTTAGGCTGTACATCCTATAGTACGCTAAAAAATTTTAAAGGATGATTGCTCACACAAATGCAAGACTAAAACTTCATATGACGATTTGTCGGAAACGGCTTTATTTCAAAGATACAAGGTGCCAAAGTTGGAAAAAATTGCATTTTTTCCAATAATTTCAAAAACCGTTCTAATTATTTTAATGTAACTTAGTATACACTTAATGGGTGTGAAAGCTTATCTTTTAGGACTATACTATTATCTTTATATTCAATCAGGATCTAAGGATAAGTAAGACCCCTTTTTTACGAAAAAAAAACTGATACGTTATTGATTTTTTTAAGTTTGAAATTTTTTTATAATAAATGGAATAAATTCGCAGAAAAAAGCTCTCTTTAACATTTTTGACAGAATAAGCCATTTTCGGCTTATAAATTAATTTATTTCGGAAAATAAATTAGAATTCGTAGACTGCAAATGAAACAAAGTCGTTTTATTTGATTACAATAAACTGAAAAGCGAAAAATTAAATTCTGTATACACCTCCATTCAGAATGCTCAACATCTTAGAAATCACACAGAGGCTGAGTGCGAAATTATTTGAAAAAAATAGGAGAAAATATTCAAATTACTTCATATTTTCTCCTATTTTTTTCCAACAACGAGAAATTGGAAATTATATGATGTAATTAAGTTTTAAGGTATTTACGTCACTATATTTCTCATAAATAAAAATAAAAATTTCTCTTAATTTCTCATGGGAAAGTTCTGAAGAACCATAATATAATACTTTATGTTTCTTGTTGTTGAAATGTGAAAAACTTCTCATAATTTTTTTTTAAATCATTCCAAGAAAGTATGAAACTTTTGATTTCTTGTTGGAAAAAAATATAAAAAAAAGAAAATCTGAAAAATTTGTTATAATTTCACGTATAATTTCAATTACTTACAAATGGTAATAATAATGAATAAAAAGTTAGTTAAAAAGTTTTTAAACAAAATAAGTTTAAGAAATAATAAGCATTATGGCACATAATGCATGTGAGCTAATTATACTTGTATCATTTTTGCTGAGGAAGACTCCAAAGAGAGTCGAAACGTTTAAAATAAAGAAGACATCAATCCAATATCTGATTATTGATTGTTCACTAAATAATTGCGCCGTTTATCGTTGCTGACTCTCATTAGCTTACTACATTTATTTTTTTGTATTGTTTAAAATTCGAGAGTCCTAATATAATTATTGTTATTGTTTAAGAAATGATGGTTTTTTTTTCACTATTTAAAACGAAAATTCGACTTTAAACTTATTGAGACTGTTATAATGGAAGAATATAACTGATAATATTACCAGAACGAAAAGCATTGCATTGTGCGGAAGATAGATAGAATAAATACTACCAACTTTTTGCGTAACTATAAATTTTAACCGTTTTATAAATTGTATAATTTTAATCGTTTTATTAATTTTGTCAAATTAGCGTTTAATTTCTTTACACTGAGGATGACTTAATAATAATGTCGAAACGTATGTTCTAAGAATTGGAAATACATAAAATAAAAATCTGGCTTGTAGTCTCTTCTCGTTATTTATTCTTTATTATTATTCAGTCGTTATAAGATTATTTTTATTTAATAAACATTTTCTTTGAAAACATTTTTAAAAATAATATTTGTTTTAAAGCAAAGAATTCGTTTTTGAAGCAAAAAATGCGTTGTAACGACTTCAAGCGAAAGGTGATCCATCCCACATTCCTCTCTATCTAGGAGTTCACGACTCCATGCGAAGCAAGATCTACCCCATCTCCCCTCCTGCCAAGAAGCGTCCGACTTTTATTACACCCCCTCCATGCAGGAGCATGTAATGTATAGACTTCGCTTCGCGTGGAAAAGTGTGCGCTTCATGGCAGGGGGTGGATGGGCCTTGCTTTGTGTGTCTTATTCAATATAATTACCAACAATATCGTCGTTGCATTTTCGACGACAAAAATAATCGTCCTTCTGTATATGACGGCTCTGCTCAAAGAAAAATGGTTGGTAATTTTTAATTCAATTCTAAAATTCTTCATTTCTAAATTATCATTAAAAATCGCTGTGATAATTTTTCGTTAATTAATCACTGTTCATCCTATATATTAATTTACAAATGTAACGTAAATCTCGGATGGCAGTCTCGGGTCAACAGCGCTATATTGCAGTAAGTACTTTGCCCCACGATTTTCCTATTTACGAGCGGTGCATGCTATTCACATAAAAGTTCGAACTCGTTATGATGATGGCGTCGTATGACCCAACGTGTAATGGCAAAAATTCTAAGCGACTGTCGTGAATCCGCGACGGTGGCGGCTCCAAAGAAAGGAATAAGATTGTGATCGTATATGTCGTTACCCCTTTAACGATTATCGTTGCTCCTCAAAGAGGCTCTTTTTCGTCGTCGTCGTCGTCGTCGTCGTCGTCGTCGTCATCGTTTAGGTCATTGTTGCGCGAGAGACAGAGACAGAGAGAAAGAGAGAGAGAGAGAGAGAGAGAGAGAGAGAGAGAGAGAGAGAGAGAAGGGGTATGAAAGAAGAGGAAAAGAGAAAAAGAGAAACGCGGAAAACTACAGCTGCAGTCCCGCAGTATCCTTGCGTCGAATGAGCAAGTAAAAAAATAGTGTGCCCCGTTGGCCGATCTTAAAGTCCGCGATGTATCTATTACGTCCGCCACAATTTCCGGCTGGAAACTGCGGAAGTTCGGAAAGAAGTTTCTGCGGCTTCGGGGGGGAGGGGGGGGGCTACTTCGTACGCCCGAACTTGGTAATAGTTTTACGACTTTTCAGGCTTACGGGATCGAGCCCCGATGCTCGCGTCGAATTAGCGGCCTGGGACCTCCAGGCTCTTTTGAGTCTCGAAGTGCCGTGACTCGCCGCGAACAAAGCTCATCCAACCTGGGTTTCCCAGGGCTGAGGTGATTGTACAGGGTGTTCCGTCATTGATTTCCATTTCTTTCGCTTCGTCGATATTTGGATTATGTATCTTTTTTCTTCAATTTACACTTTCATGCCGCGAAAATAATTACAAGGACGAGAAAAACGGATATATGTTTTTCACTACAATTTTTTCTAGATAATATAGACCGGTATTCGTAGTCAATTCTTTATATTCAAGATCGTCCTAAGTACAGTTTTAAGCTGATACAAGTCATAGAGCCATAGCATCTCGAAATATTATTTAGACGGTTTTAAAATAAGATTCGATTACGAAAGCACGGTTTTACTGAAGTACAGAAAAATTTAGAAGACACTAAAATTATTCTAGAATGTTAAAACTTTTTGCAGTATCGCTCATCATGCTTGAAATTCTTATGTAACTATTTTGATAATTCAATAACATTATTTTCAGACCTTCCAGCTAAATCTTTAGGTACTTCAATCAAATTGTTCTTTCCACGTAGCCCCATAATATAATATCATCTGCTTATAAAACATTTAACACGAATGTGAGAAAAAAATGTAAGAGAAAGACTTCTCTTTAAAACGAACGATTTGGAAATATGTATTGTACACGAGGAATAAAGATATTTCATTCAAGTATGCAGTGCAAAATATCGATGTCCTTTCCTTCAGAAAAAGAATATGTAATATAAATGCTTTCCTTAGATATGAATAATTCGATAGTTTCTTCTTTCGCAGAGAAATACAAGAGTTATTAGGTTTTAAGCTCAAGAATCCGTTTTCCGAGGCATTTGTCTCCTGTGACAAAGCATTCTTTTCTCTTGTTCACGTCTTCAAACGATATAATGATATAATGTGATATAAGAACTGGGAAAGCTTCTCTGACGACGCGATATATTTTCTTGTTCGACGCACTGAATTGGGATTTCCGTATTGATTGCGCTTGTCGCAAAAGGAGTATGAAAACACTAAGCTCCGGATCTCGCAGCGAAATTGATTATCGACAGGTCCGGTCGGACGATATTGGCGGGCAAAAATCGATTTCCGCGCAACGGATACATCAATCATAATCTACTTAGCTCGTGTAGCCTTAATCATCTAAATCGATCCGACAGCGATTATGCACAATAAATGCGCGACCCCAACACTATGTACGTACTTAGTGATTGAATTCACTGACTCACGGAATGACTAATACACAGTCCTGATTACTCTATCATCTTCATCGTAGAAACCGGACGTTTTAAATATTAACGTGTCGTAGACCGAAAGAAAAAAAAAAATACGTTTGTAGGGCCAAATAATTGACATCTTCGGACAAAGGAAGTAATAAAATGTAATAATGCAAACTGCGACAATTAATCTTTTACTTCTTGACTTATTTTACAAACATGTACTTTAATCTAAATTAAACTTCTATAATGAGTTAATGATAAATGAATAAAGTTTTTATGCGTTTCTAAAACATTACTCGATTCTTTTACATTTTCTCAGAGTTTAGTAACTCAGAAACTGTTACGGTTTGATAGATTAAACTTTCGGGACACCCTAAGCATTTCGTTTCGAGCGAACGCAGCTCGCAGCGTGTAAGGGGAGTTAATGAGAGGAATAAATAAATTTGCTAAGATATATATATATATAGGAAGAGATTTTGCGGGCGTGTGGGTGATCACAGTATAGCCAGCACAACAGAAACTTTCGAAAACAAACGTTTTTGTTTTTTTTATTGTTCCAGCGGGTAACAACGTGAACGAGCCACCTATCCTGGAAGCCGGAGGATACCCTACGGGCTTGCCACTCTCGGAATCGACCAAGGTCGGGACGGAAGTATTCGTCCTGAAGGGCCACGATCCCGAGGGATCGCCAGTGAAATATGGCATACAACTCACGGACCATTTCGTCGTCAATCCGCGTACCGGTGTCATCACTTTGGCGAAGCCGCTCAATCGCGAGGTAAAACATCATTTGATTTAGACGACCGACGTTCTTATCGAAGAGGGAGAGCTTGCACGCAAATTGCGCACAGGTCTTATCTGAGCAACAGATGTTCATCCTATTTTGCTGGCGGTATTCTTAACTCGTATTGCAATATCTTACGCGCGACTTCACCGACGTCGTTCGTCTCTGACAATTTGTTTTTTATATTTATATGCCTCGTCCCACGTTTAAAATCTCTTTCTCCTTCCCTGCCTCATTTATTTCTTTGATTATAATGTAGAAACAGAAAGAAAGGTTATTTATTGGAGTAAATAACATATATGTATACACACACACACACACACACACACACACACACACACACACACACACACACACACACACACACACACACATTATATGTATACAGGGTGTTTTTTAAATAACGCCCACTAATCGTACAATCCTATTGTTAGCTATTCCTAATAAAAAACTGAATCGAAGTCCTTTACCATTTTGCAATTTTTGCAATATTTAATGAAATATTAATTTCTATAAGTTTGCCGAATAAGCGAATAAAATCAATGCATAATTTTAAGATATTTTTCAGTGTTCTTTGTGAAACATTTTGAAGATGTTTCTTAAGAGACTCTTAGATATCTTAAAAGTTGTCTTATATGTCGATTTTAGACATTTTGCCCAGTGGATAAGTATTATAAAAAAAAATATTGCGAAAATTACAAAATGGTAGAGGACTTTTCGATTCGGTTGTTTATTAGGAATAACACTACATGATTAGTGGGCGTTATTTAAGAAACACCCGTATATATATATAAGCCATTATCTCCCAAACCGAAAAGCTTTTAAAAACGACAGAAATAATTTAATCAATTTTAACTTCTGTATATAAATGAAAATGAGGTTAATGCAACTACAGAGACTTTTTTAATCTAAATTGGAACTATCAGTTGATTAAGAGAAATTGATAATTACATAAAATTAATCAATCAGAATTGTCGCCGGAAGCTGATTACAAATTTATTCTGAACAGTCGTTTCTGCTTCTGTTAAATTTCTCTTGTTTAGGAGAGTTTCTGGTGGTACATACTATATTTACGTCACTTATACTACTTATTCCACTGTAAAGTAAACAGCGTCATGAATACTGCTTATGAGGTTCATGCAACTACTTAAGTGCTAAGAGGACACGCTTGAGTTCGTAGACAGTGTCGTCTTATCTTCAGCACGTCCCTGTGTACCTAAGAGAACAAGTAATTAGTTATTGTCAAATATATTTAGTAACTAGAATATTAAACACTTGACATTTAATCAAGTCATTGCGCGTTAAATGAAACGAATTTAAAAATAATTTCAAAGCAAAAGTTCTTTGCAGATTTTAAGATAATAGCGTCAAATCAACGATCTAATTTGGGGAGGTCATGTTGCATTTCAAATTATGTTGAAAGTCCGAAAGTAATCGGCGTGCAGTCATATTTTTGAGGTAAATTTATTTAAAATACACACGCACCTATATGTATTAATCTAACATACCTATAACTTTGATCATAATTGGCGCATCTCATATTTAGTTGATTTAAAAATAAAAATTTGCGATGTATTATATTTTAATCTCCACGTCTGATTAATTTTGTTTGGTCAACACGAAATTATTAAGCAAATGATTCAGCGATTCAATTCGTTTTTTTTTTCTCTCCTTGTATTCATCGGGGATTATTGTATTCACCGAGGAATTATTTAGTCATCGATCCGTTCAACAA